CCATGAAGTGATGGGACCAGATACCATGATCTTAGTTTTCTGAATGTTGAGCTTTAAGCCAACTCCATTAAGGAATTCTAAACAGAGAAGGAATTTTAGGGGGCTTTGTTGCTTAGTTGCTCAGTCATGTCCAACTCTGCAATCCTTTATACTATAGTCCACCATGCTCCTCTGTCCATGGGATTTTTTTCAGGCAAGCATACTGGAGTGGGTTACCCTTTCCTACTCCAAGGAATCTTCCCAACCCAGGGGTTGAACCTGTGTCTCCTGCATTGCAGGTAGAAACTTCACCTACTGAGTCATCAGGGAAGCCATTGAAGGCTTTGGGAAACCACAATAAGGTTAATGATCACTCAAGAAAGTATTGGGGAAATTCTCAAACATTGTTGGCTTGTTTGTTATGTTCTGCTCAAAAAGACACTTAGCATCACAACCAGATTGGTTTGCTACTTCCTTAGCAACAAAACCATGCAAAAGAAGCCCAAAACATGCCCCAAAACAACAAAAACAAAAAAATGGTGATGTGAGACCCACATACTGCCCAGTGAACTCAGTAAGTTAATGATCCCTAGGACATGCCCTCTACACACATTAAAAACAATAATTTGTGGACCTAGCTTGACCATGTAGGGACAAAAAAACTCCCCCTACTCAACCTGGAGGAGGAGCTGACAATGGAAACATGATGTCTACTCAAGAAAGACAAAGAAAGGACTTCGCTGATGGCCCAGTGTCTAAGGCTGCAGGCTTCCAGTGCAGGGGGCCCAAGTTCAATCTCTGGTCAGGGAACTAGATCCTACATGCCAAAACTAAGACCCAGAAGAGCCAAATAAATAAACAAAAATTTTTAAAAGAGAAAGACAAAGAAGTTCTTTTTCCCCCTTCCCGCTTTTCCTTTGATTATAAGACTACAGCCCCTTAAGTTCCCAGGGCATAGCACCCCCAGCCTGCCTGCTTGTAAGCCTCGCAAGTGTCCTATTCTAATAAATCACTGCTTATCTATCACTTTGCTTCTCACTGAATTCTTTTCTGCACTGAGATTAATGGACTATAGTTCTGGAACTCTTTAGAGGCCCCAAAATGAAACCCAAATGGTTTCAATTCCACTTTCTCAAAAAATTAAAAAGTCACAACCTCTAAGGAAAAGAAATAGAAATCCAAGGGGACAACAAAATGAAGTTAAAAATATAGAGAACCAAAAGGATCTGCAGGATAAAATTTAAATTTTAGTACTAAAAGACTTATTAAAACAAAAATAAAACATTTTTATTATGATAAAAATTGTAGAATTGAAACTGAAAAATAAAGAATAAGCAATAAGTGCAAACTTGAAATGATCTCACAGAAAGCAAAGGGAGAAAATTAAGAAACAAATGAAAAGGATGAGTGAAAGGAAGGAAAATGGAGACTAAAACTAAAAATTCTTAATTTTTCTGAAAAATGCAATAATTATTAGATCAGATGCAATTTATCAAAGGTAAGCCTTAAAGAAAACTTCCCAGAGCTCTGCCAACCAACATATAAAGAAAGCATACCACCGGGATATCGTTTTTGAGGAAAGTATTCCAACCATATGGAAACAAGATCAGAAAGAGGATTTCAAGAGAGAAAACATGAAAATTGGTGATGAATGAAGATCTTACTGGAGGCTGAAGCTACTAGAAAGTATACATTAGCAGAAAAAGTACCTCCAGACTAAAGAGTGAGCAAAAGTAGACAGATTCTGGTCAGGAGCACATGGCAAAATGAAGGAGAAAAGGGAGTTGTAGGAAGTAAATTCTCTGATTTTGTGATGTTTACACTCAAACTAAGTGAAGTTGGCATACACGTTGGAATCAGCAAGCAACAGCAGGAGAAAGAAATTGCAGTCCTGCTTATGTAAACACATACATATTTAGAAAATCAAAACATTTTCTGGCTAGGTCTCACTGATCATGAATAAGTTAATTCTGATCCAGAACACATTCCAAACTAAAATATATTAGTGTAACATTTAATACATTGGCAGTATGATTTTAACTCTCTCAAAGGGAATGTAATTACAATAATAATTTGTAGAATATTCCCACCCAGAAAAGATAATGATTTTCTTTCTTTACCTGGAGATAAAATAAGTGGAAATTTAAGAAATTTATCATTTTTAGTTATTATTTTTAACCAGGAAAAGCATAATTACTTAGTTTATAGTCAAAAATATTACAACTAAATGTCCAGTGACGATCCATGCTCAGAGTTCAGAAACTGTGGTTACAAGATAATCACCAAGAAAATGTCAAACAACCTCTTTGTCTCCAGAGAAGTTTCCTCCAAGATTATATTTATCATAATGCTCCAATATTATGGGTATTTTTAAGTTACATTTCCTTACAGCTCAAGCAAATAAAGGAAATGTTTAACATGTGAGGCAAAATAGATTTCATAAAGATGCTCTATCAGAGGTAAGGTAAGTATGTAAAAATCGAATTGCTTTTTTTAAAGCATTATAGTAAAATCACAATATATATGTTTTATAAGCTACATTTAAAGAAGTAAACCATTTTATAATATGACAGACGTAATAAAAAACAGTCTTTAAGACTTTATATAAAAAGCATTTATTTTCCACTTACAATGTCCCATTTCCTTGCATCATCAAATATAAGCATTTATCACTAAAAGCAGTTTTAAGTCATTTTACGAACAATTTGTCTGAAGTATAAAGTGATATAATTATCTTTTACATGCATTTTGCAATGAAGTGAATCCTTTTTATGGTCTCCTGGAGATAAAAAAAAACATTCACATTAGAACATTTTATCTGATTTATTATAATGGAAGATTATATAAACCAAAAAGCTAATTTGATAAATCAAATACAACTATGAAATTCTATAGAAATATGACACTAAAGAGGAAAATCATTCATGCTATTTCATCTGCTTTGAAGAAGTACATATCATTAATTTGGGGTAAAACAACTTTTGAGTTGTTAGATATTTTCCAAAAAAATTCAGTTGTTCACTTGTTCCTACCTATATAACCTGGATTTCTCTCTTTGGCAGCTGAAATGATGTCACAGCAAAGAGGACTGCTATGGCAGAGAATTATAAGGAAAATTTCAACAGCATTGTGGTCCACCAATGGCACAGACTTTTCAATACATTTATACACAAAGATTTATATGCAGATTTAAAGAATCATTCTCTCCCCAGCCAGCATGCATCCCCATAGTTAATACAGATGTAGTAGTGGAGAACTGCTCTAAAAGAAGCAATTACAAGGGGGAAAAAATGTCCTAAAATCTGTTAATAATTTACAACATTGTTTAATATATACTGCAGCACAATAAAGCTGAGATTCTCTTTAAAAAAAACAGATTCCTAAACCCTACCCCAAACCTACCAAATGAAGATTTCTGATGTGGCTCCCATATATTTATATTTTTTTAATTTTTTAAATTTTTTTACTTATTCTGGTGGGCAGCCAGATCTGAGAACCCTCCAGTATATAAATCACTCCAACCCAAATCCAGCTCTCAAGAAACCCATCAAGCTGTCAAATGACATTTACTTATAATTTTTATTTTTTGTCTTTTCATAGCTGCTGTATGTTTTAACTTGTGTGAGAACATTCTTAGCCTCTTGACAGAGACTGAAACATTAAAATCACAATGTTTAGCTCCATTCTAATTCCTTAGGTAAGCATTAAGTCAGAGTCAAAATCCAAAACAACAAAATTGAATTCAAAATGGAACATTTCTATGTCTTCTTTGTATATTTCGAACTTGAAATATGGGTTTAAAATAACACAAAGTGTTGTCCACTTTGAATATTGGTGGCATAGTGTCAGAACTTTCCTCCTGGAAATCCCAAAAAGTAACAAGGAAAACAAGCATAGAAATGGAAATTCTTTCTTTAGCTACATGCAAAATACAACTAAAAAGAACCTACATAAGCATAAATAATTTCCTTTAAAGCAGACCGCAAGCATGAAACATTGTCATTATTAAAATATATAATGCAAGCAAAAAAAAATACAATTCTAAATCCATACAGCCACTGGGGAAAAACAAAGTCAGTCTCAACTTTTTTTGAGATGAGCTCAAACACCTCAGTAGAAACATTTAACACTAAACAAGGTTAGTGGAGGAATTATAAAAATGGTAACCCAAGATATAAACACAGTCAAACGTTTCAGTTCAGTTCAGTTCAGTTCAGTCGCTCAATCATGTCCAACTCTTTGCAACCCCATGGACTGCAGCATGCCAGTTTTCCCCGTCCATCTCTAACTACTGGAGCTTGCTCAAACTCATGTCCATCGAGTTGGTAATGGCGTCCAACCATCTCCTCCTCTGTCGCCTCCTTCTCTTCTTGCCTTCATTCTTTCCCAGCATCAGGGTTTTTTCCAAATGAGTCAGTTCTTCACATCAGGTGGCCAAAGTACTAGAGCTTCAGCTTCAGCATAAGTCCTTCCAATNATGCAGGAGACATAAGAGATGTGAGTTCGATCCCTGGGTTGGGAAGATCCCCTGGAGAAGGAAATGGCAGCCCATTCCAGTACTCTTGCTTGGAAAATCCCATGGATGGAGAAACCTGGTAGGTTACTGTCCATGGGGTCGCAACGAGTCGGACACGACTGAGCGACTTCACTCACTCACTCACTCCTTCCTCTCTACCATTGCTCTCAATAATTGCCTGAGAATAGAGACTATAACATCTCAGCCACTATCAACCCAGTACCACACTATCACAAAGCATAAGCTAGCTTATGCCTGCTTCGTCAAACTTCCTTGATAGCTCAGTGGTAAAAAGTCCGCTTGCAATGCAGGAGACCGCAGTCCGATTTCTGAGTTGGGAAGATCCACTGGAGAAGGGATAGGCTACCCACTCCAGTACTCTTGGGCTTCCCTTGTGGCTCAGCTAGTAAAGAATCCACCTGCAATGTGGGAGACCTGGGTTCGATCCTGAATTGCAAAGATCCCCTGGAGAAGGGAAAGGCTACTCACTCCAGTATTCTGGTCTGGAGAATTCCATGGGCTGTATAGTCCTTGGGGTCACAAAGAGTCAGACACGACTGAGCATCTCTCACTTTTGTCAAACTCATTTTACTCTATACTTTGCCCTTTGTCTCTAATCCTTCTCCTCCCTAAAAAGATAAATAAATAAAAATAAATTTTAAAAACACATATATCAGATCTAGTACAGCATTCTTTAATGTAAGGATTTTTGACATTATGGGAGGGATAATTCTTCATGAATTACAGGACCTGACACCCTGCTTCCCACCCACTAAACGTCAGAATTATTTCCTAGGCACAGAGACAAATGAAACTGCCTATTCAGATGCAACCTATAGGGAAGACCTCCCGCCAACTCACTCACTCGGTTACTGGCTTGAAGAAAAGGTCTTTTCATGGATAAGTCACTCTCTGACCTGCTCATGACTTGGGTTGATATAGCTGCCTAATTCTTGCATTCAGTATTAGTAAGCACAACTTAGCCCTTGTTGTCTGTGAATAATAGTACAGAGAATAAATAATGACTAACATTTATTGAGTACATACTCTCCCAGGCACAATTCTAAGAATTTTAAATGTATACTTTAAATGTTTTCAAATTTAAACTTTGAATCCTCAAACATAGTTTTAAACACTACCGTCTTCCCCATTGCATAGCAGAGGCATAAAGAGATCATGATACTACCATTGAATAAATAGGCAAGGAACATTGGAAAAAAGATTCAGACATGGGAGAGTTAAATATGACTTGCAGATCATGTTTTCTGATGCAACCAGAAAGTAGTTTTAAACTCGGGTAATATTTTCCTAAGTGCAGACCAAGAAAGTTCTTGACCTCTATAAAACAAGTGCTATGGACATGATTTTCCCCAAAAAATTCACCTGTTAAAGTTCTAATCCTAATGTGATGGTATTAGAAGGTGGCATCTTTGGAAGGTAATTACATTTAAATGCAGTGATGAGGGTGGAGCCCATATGATGGAATTGTGCCTTTAAAAGAAGAGGAAAGAGGAAGAGACCAGAGAGCATGTCTCCCTTCCTTCCTCTCTCTGTTTCTGTGTGTGTGTGTGTGTGCGCGCGCGCGTGCACGCCATGTGAGGATACACAGCAAGAAGACAGCTGCCTACAAAGCAAGAAGAGGGCTTTCACCAGAGATCGAATCCATAGGCACCTTGATCTTGGACTTGCCAGCCTCCAGGTCTGTGAGAAATAAATGTGTGAGTTTTAAACCATTCAGTCTATGGTGTTTTGCTATAGCAGCAAGAACTGATTATGACAGCTAGTGAAGGAGCATAAAAAAGAAAAGAAAAACAATTTTTTTTGACCAAAATGAGCACAAACACTTAATAGCAGGAAAGAGAGAGTTTGAAGGGTCATTTGCAAAGTTCACTTCCTCAAACACTCACTCCACAGAGTTTTGCAAGGGTCTCCACACCAGTCTCAGCAGAGTGGGGTCTGCTGTGGCCATACTCAGCCTAGAACACCTCTGGGCCTTGGTCTCCCAAGGCTCAGCAACAGGGGTCACCTGCCACTGGCCTGGGGACCACCCAGCAGCCTTTGCCTGCAGCAGCCATATGATGAAGCCCTGAGGGGTCCCTGAGCTTGGCATTGGTGAGCAAGAGCACCTGCCCCAGTGCCTGGGATGCAGGAAAGGCTGACGAGTGTAGTGCTCATCAAACGGTGTCCTGGAAACCAAGTGGAGAAAGGTTTTCAGTGATCAGAGATAAGCCATGTTAAAAGCTGCCAAGTCAAGTGACATGAAGACTAAGAATGACTGGTAATGTGGAGGTTACCTTACCAATGAACTTGAGAAGATGATTTCAATGAAAAGGCCTGTGTATGTGTGTTAAGGGGGCAAAAGCATGATCAGTGGGCTCATGAGACTACTGGGCAGAATATGAACAACTCCTTTGGGGGAGAATTTTGCTATAACAAAGAGGAAAAAAAATGGGGCAGTATTTGACAGCAGGAGTAGTAGGTCAAGAGAGGTATTTTCTTTAGGATGGAAGACATAATAGCATAGTTTTTTAATAGCATATTTTTATGCTGATGGAGATGATCTGGTTGAAATGGAAAAGCTGATGATGGAAGAAAGAAAAGCAGAATAGCTGGAATGATGACCTTAAACAGGCAAGAGGTAGGTACATAAATGAAGAGGCTGGACTTAGACTGGAACACAGATAGTTCACTACCAGTACCTGAATGGAAGACAAAGTATACAAAACCAGTGCTTGCAGGTAGGTAAATTGGATAGGGGAGGCTTGTGAAAATTCTCCTCTGATTGCTTTTCTTTTCAGTGAAATATGAAGCAATTACTACTAGAAGTGAGGCTAGGTAAAGAGTTAATGTAAGTCCAGCATGTCAAAACTTGGACTCCTCACTTCTCGTCACTGTATTCATTAGACTTTGTTATGGAACAAAGTATTGCGAAACATGCTGTGGCTCAGATGGTAAGGAATCTGCCTGCGGTGCGGGAGACCTGGGTTTGATCCCTGGATTGGGAAGGATCCCCTGGAGAAGGGAATGGCAACCCACTCCAGTATTCTTGCCTGGACAATTCCATGAACAGAGGAGCCTGGCAGGCTACAGTCCATGGGGTTGCAGAGACTCCAGCATGACTGGGCGACTAACACTTTCACCTTCACTTTCTATTGCAAAACATGCTGGCTTAAGCACCATTTCTGTAGGTTGAGTTGTTGATGCTGCTGCTGAGTTGCTTCAGTCATGTCTGAGTCTTCACGATCCTATAGACTGCAGCCCGCCAGTCTCCTCTGTCCATGGGATTCTCCAGGCAAGAATACTGGAGTAGGTTGCCATGGCCCCTGCTCCAGATCTTCCTGACCTGGGGATTGAACCTGTGTCTCTTATATCTCCTGCATTGGCAGACTGGTTCTTTACCACTAGCACTAGCTGGGAAGCCCAAAGGTTGAATTGTGTCCCCCCAAAAGAGATTGTGAAGCCCTAACCTCTAGGACCTATGAATGTGACCTTATTTGGAAACACATTTTTGCAAAGTTTTTAGTTAAACTCCAATAACTTGGATCCTTATAAGAAGGTCATATGAAGAAAAAAAGAAGTACACAAGGAAGAAGACCATGTGATGATGGAGGCAGAGTTTCGAGTGGGCATATTCCCTGCTACATTGTATGCCAAGGAATGCCAAGAATTGCCAGCAACCACCCAAAACTAGAGAAATTTTAAAAAAAGACTCTTCCCTAAAGCCTTACAAGGAAGCATAGGTCTGGATATACTCCAATTTTAGACTTCTAGCTTCCAGAATTATGGAGGAATAAATATGTTTTAAGTCACCCAGTGACTTGAACTCCTGAGTTAACTCCTGATTTTGTGGGTCAGTTGTATAGTTCTAGCCTAGGCCAGCTTGCATGGTATCTGCTGGGCTTGCTTATGCACCTGTCTGGACATCTGGAATCTGGATGATCTCATGCATCTTGTGGTCTGTTGGCCTCTCTCACATGTCTGGTGGTTGGCACGCTGTCAGCCAAGATTCCTCAGATCTTATGTGGGGGGTGGGAGAGGGAAAGAGTGTTGACTCAATGTCACATTGCAAAGGAGTTCATGTAGGGGGGAAAGAATTCTTGACCATTTTTATAACCTATCACTACACCTAAATCTGGGCTTTCCAGTTGGTGCTAGTGGTAAAGAACCCACCTGCCAACACAGGAGACCTAAGAGATGCAGATTCAATCCCTGGTTCAGGAAGACCCTCTGAGAAGGGCATGGCAACCCATCCAGTATTCTTGCCTGGAGAATTCCATGAACAGAAGAGCCTGGAGGGCTACAGTCCATAGGGTCACAAAGAGTTGGACATGACTGAAGTGACTTAGCTAGCACACATGCATACTTAAATCTGATCTACCTGAAGCCTTCTCCATCTCAGTGGCCAGCAATTCCATCCTTCCATGCATTCAGCCCAAAATCTTACAGTCATCCTTGACTGCTTTCTATCTCTCACATGCAAATGCAAACTACCAGCTAATCCTATAGTCTCTAACTTTAAAATATATCCAGAGTCTACCATTTCTCATTAACTTTATAGCATCCTAATCTAAGCCAGTATCATCTTTCACCTGAATTACTACAACAACTTCCCAAGAGGACTCTCTGCTTCTACTTTTACCTTCCTACCATCTATTACTCTCAACATAGCTTCTATAGTGATACTTTAAAATATAAGTCAGATCATATCACTCTTCTGCTTAAAATCCTGAAAGCTCCCCATTTGACTCAGATTAAAAGCCTACACTCTNTTACCTTCCTACCATCTATTACTCTCAACATAGCTTCTATAGTGATACTTTAAAATATAAGTCAGATCATATCACTCTTCTGCTTAAAATCCTGAAAGCTCCCCATTTGACTCAGATTAAAAGCCTACACTCTTGAAATGGTTCATGAGTCTCAAACAATCTGGCTGCCCTTTTCATCTCTAACCTTATCATTTCTTGTTTAGTCACTTAGGCTACCATAACAAAAATACCATCAGCTGAGTGGCTTATAAACCACAGAAATGTATTTCCCACAGTTCTGGAGGCTAGAAAGTCCAAGATCAAGTTTCTGGAAGATTAAGTATCTAGGCAGGGCTCAATTCCTGGTTCATAGGTAGACATCTTCTTGCTCTAACCTCACATGGTGGAAGGAGAGGTATCTCTCTGAGGGCTCTAATCCTATTCATGAATGTTCCACTTTCATGACCTAATCATCTCCCAAACACCTCACCTCCTAATACTATCACATTGGTTATTAAGATTTAAAATGTGAATTGAGGGGCAAAATAAATATTCAGTCTATAGCATTCCACCCCCCAAAATTCAAGCCCTTCTCACATGCAAAATATATTCATTTCTAGATATCATCTTAGTCAGATATCATCTTAGTCAGACATTGCAAGCAGAGAGTGTAAGGGTACCCAGAGAAAGAGAACTAGGCATGCTTTCTTGACGTATGAGAAGCCCATTTTTGGCCTAAGCCATTTTGTGGTCTAAACCTGGCCACAATGCTTAACCTTAAACAGGTCTCAGTGATTAATCATCTTAAGGGAAGGAAAGAACAAAGGAAAAGTAGTTAAGAAACAATAATTCAGTGATCAAATAGAGACCCAGTTCCTCTT